ACAACGGCGGGTCCCGCGTTGGCAACTGCTGTCATGGCTTCGCTGTATTTTTTACGAGCTTCTTCGAGAGCAGCTTTTGATGAGTTGAACTGAGCCTGAATGCTGCTAAGACTCTGTTGAAGACGCTCCTGATCAAGGGTTGTCTGATTCATTTGAGTTTGCATTTCAAAAATGCTCGCCTCACTGGCTGATTGAGTGGTTGCACTCAACTCAATAATCTCAGCAAGAAGTGCTTGAAGCATGTTAAATTTGTGAAGGGTTGCATTGGCCACTTGCGCACTTTCAGTAGCCAAACGACTAACACTATCGAGAGTACGAGGCAACATGCTTTTCAGCATTGCATTTCCGGCTGAAGTGATAAGTTTCAACGCCGTTTTTATATGAGTGGGCACTTGTTGAATAGAAAGTTGAATGCGATCCATTGCCGTGTGTGCACCCATCAGAGCATCATACATGTCAGATGACACTTGAGCCAGTGTTGCTCGAAATGACCTTGGATATCTAATTGCTTATAAACAATATCGAAACGTTATTCTTTCATCGTCATTATTACCTGATGTAACGATAAACATAGTCAGCCGAAACATTAAATGGAAAATCTCGTTTGCTAGCGAGCACCATCAGATTACCGACATAATTAACAACAATTGGACCTGATACCATCAGAGTCTCCCATTCCTTGTCAATATTTGGCTGTTCAATTAGTTGATCATCACGAATGGCGTTGAAAATCGACGGATTAGCACGAAGTTGAATACCTATCGTATAACTTGTGTTTTTTGAAAGAGAAATTTGGCATAATAGAAACTACAACGGTTTTTCTCTTAGCCTGCAAGTGAGCTTTCGAAATTTGAGAATTTTTTAAAGCTAACTATAATGACTAAGTATGAATACATGCTTTATACATTCAATTTGTCGTTGCTATGCACTCAGGTTGACGTGAAAATCTACGTATCTTCAGACTTTTTAGATCCCAAACATATTGGCCGACGAATGAGATCTTCAAAGCATACTATACACTCGAACGCTTTTAATATCGCTCAGAAGTCAAATCATATAGCTCACCAGGTAACGTATTAACATCGCTCGCTAGATACGCCAGAAATTGATCATCATCCATTTTGGGAATTGCCAAAATATCTTTCATACTCATTTGAACAATTGTTTCAATGTACACATCGAAGAATGGATCTTGAGCTGGATCGACAAACAATGTACGAGCGACCGACGACGGAATCAAACAATGTACACTTGCACTCATTGTCCATAGCATCAAACATAGTTGAAGAGAAACTTCAGAGGCTTTCTTTGAAGAAAAATCTTAGTTTATGTAGTTTAATACTTACAGGGCTTCATTTCTTTCATCGAAATTCAAATATCCTAAACAAATATAGCAAATATAAGATCTTAAATACAAGCGAATTGCAAGAAAATATTCTCTGTGAATGCACGTCAGCTGGTTATAATGCTGTTGTTTTCTGGATGTTCTTATCAGGCGTACTTTTTCGGTGAAATATCGATCTTCCATTCTGTTCTAAAGTAAGTAAATATATGAAATGAAGAAAGCCTTATGAGAATATGACGAAATATGATCCAGCTGTTTTCTTGTACCATCATGCTTTGGCGGAATGAAATCAATAAATTTTTTATTCAACGTTTAAAGGGTGTTGGTGATAAAACAGAGTGTTGGGTGCGAGGCAGGATGCAGGTGGGGTGTAAATATTCTCTTTAACACATCCACACCCACACATTCAAGAATGATTTAGAAATGTGTTGCAAAATAGATAGGTTATGAGAATCTCGCTGCGATTACTAAGAACAACTACATCGTGTTTCACATTTTAATTTGACAGAGGTTGCGTTAACAGCTTTTTTGAAGAAAAACAGTTATTTTTAGACACACGAGAGAATAGAGTCAAAGAGATGACACAAAAAAAAGAAACTGAAATTGAAATTTCTTCTATTTCATTCCTACTGCGTAATACATGAGAGAAAGAGAACAATAACGTTGATAAATTATACAGTTCATCGAGAACGGAAACTATCTATGTGCTGTAACACACAGAAAACAGAAAACAACGAGCCAGCACAGAATGAAAAGATCAACAAGTGCATTTGTCGCAAGGCAAATGCAGTCGAAAATAAATCTGTTAGAATAATTCTTTAATCAAATTGAATCGTGTTGAACGTATTAATTGAAGATCTATATCTGTATTTGTAATGAATGAATTGAAGTATTAACTAGATATCCTGTATCATCTATTGATTTTAGTTAAAATAAAACCACAAATATAAATCATGCATGAATGTTGATGAATTAAAGCTGATCTTTTCCCTATTATGATAGCACTTCAGTTCCAGAAGATATTGAAACTAGTATAACATTAATGTAATCACTGAACTTCAAAAAGGCTTTTGAAGTGTACTATCAAAATACTCAGTTGATTATATATGAAATGGATGTAAATAATTCTGATGTTTCGATGTTTCTATATTGAAACTATAAATACAGTAAAATTCGAATATTTGCGTCCAGGCATACTAATGCCAGCTTATATTTTAGATTTGTTAGTTTGGCAATGAGAGCTTTAATTTGACTCGAATGTATCTAGTCTTATTAACTTATAGCACAAATCCTTCCATTATAGAAAGTCGGTCTCTGGTTACGATGCTGAGTTATGGTGTTGAGACATTCAACAGAGAAGGTAAACACAGTTGATTTATAGGGTGGCCCATAAATAACAGCCCGATAAGAAATTGGAATATCTCCATTACAGCTCGGGCAAACGAACTGATTTCTTTATCAATGATAGAGGTATGTTTAACGTTTATATCCATAAAGACATGCCGAGAGATCCTTTGTTAAATGTCACTATTGATCTCAACAAAAAAATTTCACTTTTTCATATTTAGGGAAAAGATAATATATTTACCAAAAGATCTCTTTAAGCGTGTCTTTATGGATATAAAGCTTGAAGATGCCTCTATTATTGATAAAAAAGTCAACTCGTTTTCTCAAGCCGTAGTGGTGATATTTAATCTTTTTTCGGCAAAGTGACTTTTGCGCCACTCTGTATATTGTTTTTTTCCCTATATATGTAAAAGCTGTTAGTCCAATCCCTTGTGGGATTAAAAATGTGAAACACGATGGACCTATTGTTACTAATTAAACGGGTATCATTTTGCTCCATTTCTTCAAGATAGATTTGTAGCTTACCGTTTATTTGATGCTTCAAAACTACAGTTTCTCTGTCACGGTCTGTGATGGTCTCCGAGAATTCTCTGTCATGGCCTGTGATGGTTTCTCAGCATTCTCTGTCACGGCCTGTAATGGTCTCTGAGGCTCTCTGCCACGGTCTGCGATGGTTTCTAGGGATCCTCTGCCACGGTTTGTGATGGTCTCCGTAGTTCTCTGTCACGGTCTGCGGCGGGGAGGGGGGAGGGGAAGAGGGGAAAGTGGGTCCAAAATTTCTACCTGATACACTTCAACGCTCCTTTCAGATCGCGTTTCACAAAAGTAAAGTTTTTTTTATTGGGATCAATAGAGACACTTAACAAAGAGTGTCTCTAGGCATGTCTTTATGGATATAAACTTTGAATATATCTCTATCATTGATAAAAAAAAAACAATTCGTTTGCCAGAGCCGTACTCGAGATATTCAAATTTCTTATCGGAGTGTTGTTTATGGGCCACTCTGTACGTTGGCGCATCTAGACAGCTACGTTATCATGATAGAACGGAAAA